CACAAGGCTGCTTAAATGATCAGTCTGAATTCTAGGTTCCTTCTGAAACAGTTTTTTTTTTCTTTTGGAAAGCCTGAGCTGTGTCCCATTATACCCCTTCAGTTTCATTAATTTTGTGAGCATTACTACTCTTCCAGTTAATATACAGCTGGTAGAAAGCAGTTATGTGTAAGTGAAGAGAGTTCAGCTATAGTAGATTTACTTCTTGTGATGTTTCATGACTTTAATTTTTTTTCTGTTGGATTGAATGGCAAGAAATTAACTTCTGCTGACATGCCTAAGGGTTAGAATTTTAAATAAAATAATGTTCCTTTACATGTGTCCGGTGGATTTTTCAAGGTACTGAACTATAGTGTTTTGGGCATGTAGGTCAAAGCCTTTCTTTAAACATGCCATAGTTCCTTTTGATGTGCTGTTGATGAACATTATGCTCCCCAACTTGAAATCAATAACCCTCAATTCTTGCCTACCCCAACTGTTTGAGTGTTTTATAGTAATATAAGTATCTGTTAAAAATACATCCTTATTTATTGTCTCAGTTTTGTACTTGTTTTTCACTCACACAACTATTTTAGTGCTAAGTGCATCCAATGGAAGGTGAAGTGTCACCCACTGAATTGATACAGTGCCTCTTGTAAAAGATTAATGCCACGAAACATCACAAAGAAGTAAATCTACTGTAGTTGAATTCTCTTCACTTATACATATTTTGGCTCTTCAGTTTTAAAATGAATATACTGCTTTAGCATAACTCTGGATTCTGCAGGGAACTCTGATTCTCTGTGGCTCAATTTGAACTCAAACAGTAAGGTAAGTAGTTTGCTGTGTGAAAACAATAGTTTAGTGCCTGATCTTCAACCCACAGATCAACTCTATTGGTATTCGTGGCAGGAGAGAAAAGAACCACTCTCAGGTTTCTAATCCCTGTTACTCCATACTGGTAGGGATTGTTCCTTTGGAGTTGATGGTTGAGTTTTTAGTGAGCAGCAGACTGAAACAAGTGCAGAAGCAGCAGTACTAGTAGTATTCATTGTAGCAAGATACCTTACCCGATTAGGAAAACCTTCACTCTTTC